TCGGGTTTGGTTGAGCCAAACAATTATTAGAGAAACAAGGGAATTTTTTGTGGCTAGGAGTCAAGTCCAACCTGACAAGGATGTAGTAGTCATTTCAGTGCTGAATATGAATATCAAGAGGGTAACCATAGATAGTTCATCCGTAATGTGTACAGTTGGCATGGTAGAGCAGGTGGTTGCATGTGAGGATGTTGTTACTGCTAATGCTGAAGGCCAGGGCTTACCTAGTCACTTGCAGTCACTGGTTGATTGCTGTTCCACTGATCTTACAGAAAGCCAAAAACAGTCTGTTTCTGATTTAGTGGGAGAATTTCAAGATGTTTTCGTCAGTGAAGAAGATTGTTTGTTATGGTAGACAGATGAGATTACGCATACCATCAATACTGGTGGAGCAACCCCTATCAAATTACCTGCTAGGAGGGTTCCTTTAACTAAGAAACAGCTAGTAGAGGAGGAAATTGACTAGATGTTGCAAAAGAACATTATAGAGCCTAGTAGTAGCCCTTGGTCTGCTCCTGTTTGTCTAGTAACCAAAAAAGATGGATCCTGCAGGTTCTGTATTGATTTTAGAAAATTGAATGACGTTACTTTACAAGATTCCATACTCTGCCCGGAATAGATGAAACACTTGAAACGTTAGGTGGTTGTCATTGGTTTAGTACCCTTGACTTAGCTAGTGGATATTGGCAAGTCAAAATGGATCCTAAAGATAAGCATAAAACCGCTTTCGCTACTCATGTCGGACTCCATCAGTTCAATGTCATGCCGTTTGGACTCACTAACGCTCCAGCTACTTTCGAGAGATTGATGGACAGGGTAATGGGAAAATTAAAGTGGAAAAAGTGTCTGTGTTACCTGGACGATGTCATCGTTTTTGGGTCAGATTTTCAATCCGCTTTAAACAATCTTAGGTCAGTTTTCATTCAGTTTAGACAAGCTAATTTGAAACTCAAACCTAAAAAGTGTATGCTCTTTCAACCTGAAGTTGCTTTTCTAGGACACATAGTCTCAGCCAATGGTCTTAGATGTAGTCCAGAAAAGGTAGAAGCTGTCAAAAGTTTGCCTAGACCGGAAACCATGTCAGATATTCACAGTTTCTTAGGTCTTGTAGGTTACTACAGGCAGTTTGTACCTAACTTCTTGGGTATCGCTTCTCCTATGGTGCAGCTCACTCGAAAGGGTATACCATTTCAATGGACTTAGGATTGTGAGAAGGCATTTGATCAGTTGAAGCAATGTCTTGTAACTTCTCCAGTACTTGCTTTTCCTCAAGACGAAGGACTTTATGTGCTTGATACAGATGCTAGCGGGTTCGGTATAGGTGCAGTATTGTCTCAGGTGCAGGAAGGGGAGGAAAAAGTTCTTTCGTATGCCAGTCATACTCTGGGACAGTCACAACGCAACTATTGCACAACCAAACGTGAGCTTCTGGCAGTGGTAACATTCCTTAAGGACTTTAGACACTTTCTCTATGGCAGAAAGTTTGTTTTGCGCACGGATCATGCTCCTTTGATTTGGCTGCAAAACTTCAAGGATCCAGAAGGAATATTAGCAAGGAAGCTTAGTGTTGTAGAAACCTATGATTTTGATATCAGTATAGGCCTGCTAGAAAGCATCAGAATGCGGATGCGTTGTCACGTAGGTCACAGCGAAGGTGTACCTTTGAGAAGTGTCTTGATTGTCATTCTTCAGATTTGGCTTGTAGTCAGCATGATAGTCAGTTGGTTGGTTGCATCAATAGAGCCTATTGATGAGAAGTAGAGGAGAGGAATGTTATTCCTACTTATTTGGAGGAAGATGGGAATTCTACAGATGACGGCTCTGATAGTTCTGGAGTAGGTGGTAGACTATTCAGTGACTCTGCAGCTAGTAGTGGCGTGGCTAACTGGTTACCAGTGTGGACTGGGGATGAGTTGCTCGATTGGCAATTAGCTGACATAGGAATAGGTCCGATATTGAAGTTGTTGTCAGTTGATGGTGGTCAACCTGAGAAATCAGAAATCATAGATTGGAGTTCAGATGCAAAGATGCTATGGGGACAATGGCAAGATCTCAGGCTGGAGAATAGACTGTTGTACCGCCAGGTAGAATCTGATATTTTTGGCTCTCGTTTACAGTTGGTAGGACCAACAGCTGTACGTACATTTATTTTTAAACATTTGCATACTTCACATACAGCTGGGCACTTCGGTCAAGATAAAACAAGATAAACAAGGTCCAGGACGAGGCAGGTCTCCATTACAACAGTTTACTGTACGGGCTCCTATGGAATGTCTGGCCATAGATATTGTTGGTCCTTTACCTATAAGTAGAAATGGCAATGAGTACATTATGGTAGTTGGTGATTATTACACCAAATGGAAGGAAGCGTTTGCATTGAGAAATCACACATCGTTATCTGTCGCTGACAAATTAGTGTGTGAGGTGATCTGTAGATTTGGATGTCCTGAGCAGATTCACACCGATCAGGGGAGAGAGTTTGAGTCCCATTTATTCAAAGAAGTGTGCCATTTGTTAGGGATTGATAAAACTAGAACTACCCCTTATAGACCTCAATCAGACGGCTTAGTTGAACGCTTCAATAGGACCTTAAAGCAGATGCTCAGCATTTATTCCGATCTACTGATAGTCAGATATTTCATTGTCGTAGTCAGTCATAGTCAGACACTCAAGTGAAAACTTTATTCCTTGATTGATGGGGCTTTTGTTACATATCTATATTGAGAGGTTCAGGTAAATTTGTCAAAAATGAATGCAAATGCCATCTGAAATATACTGAGAAGTCAATATTTGAAGTAATGAACTTCCTCATTGATAACAACTATGTGAAATTTGGCACTACGACACTGAGGCAAGAAGTCGGCATCACCCATGGGAACCAATTGTGCTATCCTTCTTGCTTATTTGTTTCTGTATATAATTCTGCTCTGATCAGCAAAGTGAAAAATGGCAAGTTCGCCAAGAAGTTAACTGAAGCTTCAGGTATATCGATGATCTGATATAGTTCAATTACCATCAACTAGACAATTCCCTCCACTGATTTACCCATCGGAACCAGAAATAAGAGACCAGTGATACCGCCTCATCTGTTTCATATTTAGATCGATGCAAAAGATTAGACAGTAAGACAACAGTCCAATAGTCAACTTTCCCTTTGTGTCGAACAATATTCCCGCAACTCCATCCTTTGATGTTTACATTTCACAACCTGAGGTACAGTCGAGCGTGTTCTTTCTACCAAGATTTCAAAGAGCGTCATACGACTTTTGGTCAGATGTAGTTTCATTCAAGGCATTCAAGTGTTTTCGTGGAGATGTGGAGGACATTTCAAGTCAGTGACAAAACGCCCGATGCAATGTCTGATTTTGACTTGTACCATATGTCCCCGTGTTTGTTTGGTCAACATTCCTTTTGTAAGTGTTTGTGACGTGTGCCACCGGTGGGGCAGGATACGCTCCCCTTTTCGCGAACACCTGGTATCATCACTATTTGATAGTGATTCATGAACAGATGATCATGGAAGAGGTGGAATCGTACAATCGATGTCTTATGAATATTGAAAGGGTCTTGTATTTTTATATTTAGAAACCTAACATATTGGTCATCAGATGAAGTGGGTGACTTTTAAAACTTAAATATATAAAAAAAAATTATTGCCAAATTTCACTATTCAATAAGAACTTTCTTGCTGAACTGAAACAATTGTAGGAAAATAGTTACACATTTCTTGAAAGTAGTATGACTGATTAAATAAACATGCTTTTATGTGAAAATTGCATCTAAGAAACCAGAAGTCCCTGAACACGTGGACATATATGTTTTTATTGTAAAAACAAGATTTGGTTATTATCTTCCATAGCAATACTATTCCACTGAGTCAGTTAAGAGAAGCTATCAACGAAAAACGTTCAGGAAAGCTCTGTTTAGGTGTACCACTCCTTAAGGACAATGCGCCTGTGCACACTTCACAAGTGGCAATGGCAGTATGTGATACATACATTAACAAGAAAATATTTTTCTTCTTTGGGATATGGGAAAAGGCTTTAAAGTGTCAGTTTTTTCCAGATTGACGGCATATACAGCAAATACTAAGGGTGTTCCCAAAATAAATATGCGAGGGTGTTGATATGGACCATACCCTTGGAACATGAAGCATTCATCATGGTTTGTAAGATGCAATTCTAATACTGAAGTTTTTGTTTCAGCTTCCTCCACGTGCATATACAACTGCAGACCTCATGCTGTTCACAGAGTGAGTAAAATTACATAAGAAAAGTATCATGCTGCTTTGAGAAAGTTGCATCTCCAAAAATCAACACTGTGCTTCTGATATGTTTTGGATGTTTAAACAGAGGGGTATATAACATTTTAAAAAATGACAACGGAGTTTCGTTCAGGTTACACTTGTAGTGTTCACACACACCACGCATGGATTTCATAGTTTGTGTTCGTGTTTGTCCATGAGCCCATACAATCTATTTAAAGGTGAAATTGGGGTTTGACGACGCGTTCAAGATTAATATACCCCATGGTAGCGACGGGGATGCACGTGTATGTGCGTGCGTGTGTGCGTGCGTCTGTGTGTGAGTGTGAGTGTGTGTGTGTGGGTGGGGGTGGGGGTGGGGCGGGGGTTGGGGGTGGGGTGGGGTGGTGGAGCGGGGGTACTTGTACTTGTCCGGACTGATGCCGATTTTACAGTGATAGTCCACTGAGATACTATGCCGCAGCTTATGCAGCTTAACATGAATAGCCCACAGAGACACAGTATACTGACTCCGAGTACTTGTTTTATCCCCTTAATGCTGAACCCAAGCCAGGGTAACAACAACACCATCTATTGACGTATTTTGCTATGACGCGATCGGGGACGCAACAATCGGCCTTCGGCCCTCCTGGCAGCCGCTCTGTCCACTTGACCACGGATGTGGCCCTACTCTATTTAAAGCATTTGTGAACGTTCCTTAATATCTTGGAATACTTTTAGTTTCTATATTACAGGCTGATGTCAACGTCTACACAAATTCTTCCTACTTTGATGGATCAAACATTACCACACGGAATGCTGTATATGTCGTTAAGACGCATATGCCACACGGAATGGTCGATGTCAATGTAGGAAGAAATATGTCTGTGAGTACATACCGATAATACATTGTTTCTGAATAACTACTGCCCAGCTTCATAATGTATAAATATTGTATATTTCTCAACATGCACGTGTGTTATGTTTTTACAAATGGTCCAAGCTTTTTTCACAAATAGAACAACTTCAACTTCAAGTAATTAGTTTGACGTCGATGCATAGGAAGTCTGTGTCAATTTATAGGTAATGATTTTGCATTGTGTGTGGTATTGTGCGATGTCACATTTTTTAAGTGAACTGCACCATAACTGTTGTTTGAGAAAATAGGTAACCTGCAAAGTTATTTATTTTAAACATACATAATATGTGATGACACCCATACACGTTCCCTAAATGAAGAAACAAAAGATAGTTTGATCATGAAATGGAAACCTGGAAATTGGTGATAACTCTTAACAATTTCTTTTGCGTTGTATTTTGTGCATGTTTGTGCTGGAAAATGTAGTATAACTTGTATAGTACGGATTGTATTATATGCATTTGGATACATTAGTAATATAGTAAATACATATAGTAAATAGCTAACAGATCAGAATCGACGTAATTAATGGCTCGAGTTAGAACTGGTGGATCGGGGATGAGTTTATATGTTGTAAATTCGCTCCACTGCTTGCATCAAAGTCAATTACATTGCATAAAGTTATAACATTAATGATAAATGCTAGAAATCTCTTGTGTAGCATGTTTGAACATTCACAAATTAACATTATTGTTTCAGGTTGGCATTACTTTTTTCACGGACACAAAACAAACTATTGAAGGAAACATGAGACATATGGCTGCATCTTTTAGCTCTCTGCTTAAAGAAACTCTAATCTACAGAGGACTGCTCTTTGGAAACCTCACAAAAATCTCACTTGAGGTAAACTATTTCATCATATCATAATTACACATTTCTGTATCATCCATAGAGTACCTGTTACTGGCAGATCTCGATTCATTCACTTAAATATAGAAACACCCCGAGTTTAATAGAGGGTGGGGGAAAGCAGGACCGAAGTCCTAGTGGATGAGTGAGTGAGTGAGTATGGTTTTACGCCGCTTTTAGCAATATTCCAGCAATATCACGGCAGGGGACAACAGAAATGGGCTTCACACATTGTACCAATGTCGGGAATCGAACCCCAGTCTTCTGCGGGACGAGCGAAGGCTTTAACCACTAGGCTACCCGATCGCCCCCCAGAAAGGCGTAGAAACTCTTATGTGTTAAGCTAGCTGAGCAAGGTCGCCCATCGAATAACCTTCCGCCGACAGCATTGCTGAATGTGTCCTGATTGTATTCTGCACACTCTGCACAGAACAACTTGGGACATCATTAAGGTATGTATACGACTAGTACGTTTCGTGACAAATGTACCATGACTGTAAGAATATGAATAAGTACAAGTCTAATCATGATACCTCTGGTACACACACACGATACCATATCCGGTAAGGTATGAACACAACTTTTTGGCAGGTAACAATGTGGTATTTCGTAGGATTTCCAATTAACCAAGCTTCCAGGTAACCGAGAACAGATCATCTGCAAGAGTTGAAACAAATAGCGTTTAATTATTATGAGTTGCTTTTTGTTGCATGAAGTGTAGAACATACGAATTTAGCAAGTAAGCATTAAGTTGTATTGTATGTTTTATGATTCACTAAATTGATATGTTTACCAAACAGGTTGCTTGGCGTGGTGGTCACTTTGGAATCCCAGAGGCAATAGATGTCATTTCTACAAACAGGGTTCATCCATCTGCCTTTCGCTGTGTGAGGAAATTATCTGAGATTGAAAGCCTTCAGAGTCTGGTCCGAAAACGACGATCTGGGAGCAGAAGTAATGCGCATTAGTGTTGAATGACCACATATGTCAATTCATCCAAATCGATTCGCGTGTGTATGGTTTCAATATTGATTACACTGATGTTTTCGTTAGTTCATGCTGCTCACTAACACTTCAAAACAAAAATGGAATTTCTTCCAATCGGGCGATGCAGCTATGTCATCTCTATATAACGACAGTATTATCAGTTTGTTTTCCAAAAAGAGAATCTTGTGCAATCTCATAGTTTTCCTTATTTATCTTGTCGATGTCCTAGAGCATCAACATCATTATTTAAAGTTTTCAAACAGTATGAAGTTTATGAGTAAATTTATGGTCTATTATAAACCTCGCAAGCGGAGCCTCACCTATGTGTACCGTGAGGTGCGTTGTTTAGATAATCTTTTTTAGCTTCTTGTTTTAACCTGGGATATTCCATATAAAACAACAACATTAATACAGATATCTTTAATCTAACTGAATAACACAAAAAAACGTATGATGTGTATTGCCATATTGAACAATACGCTAGATTTTGTATGTAAGGCCTTTCACGAGATTTCTCTAAGGATTAACTTAGTAAAAGTCATCATCTATCAAAACAGCTTAAATATATCAGGGTTGTCAAACACATGCATTGCCATGCCAATCCAAAGGATGGGGTTGAAGCACCATCAAATAGCGACCGTTTGGGTGGGTATGTAAGACAACTTCATAAAGGGTTTGTTTATATCTACTGCCGTTTTAACTAATCGCGAAAATATTTGGGCATGCTTTTATTCACCGGTTATTCTAGCCTACAAATGTCTAGAACAAAAGAGTTGGTTGAGATCTAGTTCGGGCATCATGAGGGTAGCAGAGGTTTTGTATGCCCCCTTTGTCTCCAGAATGGTGGCCTTTGGTTGGTGTCGATCTATAGCCAAGCAAAATATTATAGAGTGCGGTTGTGTAATAACTTTACTAGTTTACGGTGCTTTATCGACAGAATTTTCATCTCCAAAACATTTCTGAAATACTGCAAGTACGACTCAGTCCTGTGCCAATGTGTTTATGATTGGTATCACATATTTCAAAGTCGTTTATGTCTGCGATTGTAACAATGTTTTCAAATGAGGCCAGTGAGCAAATATATAAGCTCTCTGTTTTATCGTGTCTCATTTAAGTATACATATATTTTACATCTTGTTTCTTTTGATGTATTGTTCTAGGTTTAAGGATTGAAATACGCACGAGCTCAAGCTGGTTTTCTGGTACCGGTGCCAAAGTGTATGTCAGACTGACAGGTGATAAAGGTGTCACGGGAGACATGCGCATGACTGGGGGATTTGGTAGAGGGGACGTTGCCAAAAACATTGTCAGTATCGACGAAATAGGAGTGATACAGAAATTAAGGTAAACAATATGTGGGGTATTGCTACAATGTGAGCCTTTTCGCGAACACCAGTTATCATCACTATTTGAAAGTGATTTCATAAACAAGTGCTTGTGATGTAGTCGGAATTTTAATTTTAAGCTTTCCATTGATTATGGAAATGGTTTTGTCGTTTTTTACTTGAATAACCGGAATACGCAATTATATAACACATCTTTTTAGAATAAAGCTGGAAGGAGTGGTGGCTGCATTACAGCACGGTAGTTGAACTGAGACATTATTGTAGATAGTTCTACAACATATGACGGATAAATAAAAAAAACCCAACCAAATAAATACTTAGGGGCTTTTATATCTCTGTGTCCCTTTTACAAGGAGATACACCAAAGCCAATGAAGTATTGTACCCTTACAATACAGACGCCGTGTGTCAGTAAAACATTTATAAAATAATTCTTTCTGAAACAAGTCTCAGAAATTTGAAATTGTATGAAGGTGTCTTAGACTTCGTATTCTTCCAGGCACTGGACACTGACAAATTTAAATTTATAAAAATTTCTTTAATTTAATATCCATTGTCAATGCAAGAGAAAAATGTTTAAGCATTGTCTAAAAAGTTATATGCCAGGAGATACCAGATACCGATTTTTATGACTAATTGGTTGGTCAACCTGTCAGTCAGGCACTGATACCATATTGACGAACCAACGTGTCCTACAAAATAAATAGAATAAATATAAATTGATTACTAAACCAACGTACAATATGGACTGTCCCTCATTGTGAAGTCAGTTAAGAGTAAAATCTATCAGATGCATTATGAAATCGAATGGAAAGTACCTGGGGTCACAACAGTCAATGCATTGTCAATGGGCAATTGTCTGCAAAAACACACACCCATATGTTTGTCAACTATGCTAAAATGTGATATCATTTTCATATATAAGTTATGTAATATAAACCCGTGGACATTGTTTGGTTCCATGTTTCAGAATATGGCATGATAATTCCGGATCGAGGGCTGGATGGAATCTTGATTGGGTAATGTATTGACAGATATCAGTGTCTGCTACATGTATTACTAACTCGAACAAAACAATCAATTATTTCACTTTGGTTTTATCACTGTAACAAAATTATAATTTTCATTGTAAAATGACAGGCATGTCCTGAGCATATTTACAAATGGTAGCATATAACAAATGAGCAGCGGTTGTGAAATTTTTAAAGGGCCATTTGCATTTAGACGTGGCAGTTCTAAACGTCATGATACACGCTGTAGTGTACTGAACAATCTTTTACCCACACGACTAGGTGTGAAGAGAAGTTTAAGCATTATGGGAAATGGTTTGGGCACATTTTTAAAGCCATCTAGGATCACGTGCATGTGAAATTTAATTTGACTAAACCTGGATTCATCAAGAAACCTGTATAATATTATGAAATCATAACTTTTTAACCAATTATCGTTGACTGTTATTTTAGTTCTTAACACCACCGTATACTTTTTTTATAGAACATAAGTAAATATACATGAATGAACCCATCAGCAACTAGCAAACAAAAAAACACATGTCATAAACACAGCCTTTTGTGTCATATGTGTCTTGTGTCCTACCGGTAGGACAGGACATGGGTACCCTTTTCGCGAACATCTGATGTCATCACTGATTTTGACTGATCCATTCATTACTTTCAACGCTATTATAAAATATATTACACGCATTTGAGGACAACAGGTATATTTTTACTAAATCTTTATCATAGGTGAAATTATTTTATGAATCGACCTCTACTCACGAGAATGTTGGCATGAATAAGAAGATTTCTAAGCACCTTAGCGAAATTTCGATGCGGTGTTGCCTCCATTCGGTTCGAAATCAGGCTTTGTGAGAACTTGCCTGTTGATCAGCGCACGTGCCCTGTGTGCTGTAGAAGACGAGGTGCATGTTTTAACGATTTACGTTTTAACCTTTTTCAACATGCAACGTACATAAAGGCATACTTTTATAGTTTATCACTTTGAAAATTGAGTTTATCATTTCACAATGAACAAACATGCATGCGGGGTTATATCACGTAATTTTGAAAGTTAACTGAAAATTAACCTATGAATTTAACTTTTTCCCTTTTCTCCTGAGCCAAATGTCGAAGCTGTTTGATTGTTTAGGTTCGTGTTCACGAGCTATCTGAAAGCGGTGTAACTTACGAATTCCTCTGTGGCTGCTCGTTGGAGGGCGGTAACAACGCACACGAGCTCACACATATCACAGGTAGTGTATGCAATACATCAATAGAAAAACAACAAGTAAGATGAAAATTATTCTAAAAATGGGATACCACAACTAAGACAGTCCATAGTTATCATAAGCTTCACGTACATGTACGGCCGGTGTCATCTATTCCTTTTAAATGATTCATTGATGATTCATTAAATGTTCATTTCATTTTGGGATGTGCCTGTCTCATGCATGGAACATATATAAATTAGTTGTAAATTACTATTTCAAGGCTAAATGTCATCTTCTTTTAACCATGCATATTATTCAGTGTCTGTGTACTGGCTTTCACAATGATGACACCTATGTACTAAGCTGACATGACGGATGATTTCCATTCTCCCATTGGGAATTCCCCCTTCGAGCAATACTTTCATCGGCTTCAACTTATAGGGTCTACATTTCTCAGATCTTAGGCACTTAATTATATCAGAGCATGTACATTTTATTCGGATGGCTGCCGTATTCCAGGATGGCCCACAATTGTGTCAATAATTATCTATTTGTGACATAGAAATTCATAGATTTATCCAATTAGGGTTGTTTTCAATTTTCATAACCATTCCCATCTACATTTTGCTACAGTAATTCCCAATAGGTGTGGCACCATATGTGTATAACTAATTGTATAAAATAAAGTTTCCAGGAATCAGTATCCTAAGTGGATCTGAAGTTCCATGAATGAAATTATGTCCACTACACTGATATTTTTTTCAACTCAATGTTTAGTTGTGACGTGAATATAATTTCGATTGATATATCAATCTCACTTTGGGGATAACGCTTGTATTCAGGATTGTAGTTATGTTCTCATTGATTCTTTGAGTTGCAGCATGAAGAAAAGCACACATACATGTAAGTCGTTCAGAAGTCATCAACAATGGATAAGGACATTTTGCAAGCTTACAAATGAAAGCTTAAATCAAACTAAACGGTCCTTCAGTATGTTCAGATCATATGTAGCGAAGAGCGACTGTCACAGACAGGTTTATATTTGCAATAAATCAAACACTATTGAAATAAGATACCACTATTGCAATCGTATTGCGATCGATTGATGGGACTTTCAATTTATGTTTTCGTATTATTCGAGATGATGACATAATTACTTGTGGTCTAGATCACCCATGGTAAAGAAACAATTGCAGATATGAATAGTATGAAAATCGCGTGAATATATGAACTTGTGGCGATATGAAAATTTGGCAGGAGTACCAGTATTGTTGGGTGCGGCGTTCGGCACCAAACACTGACGTTTTTGAATTAAATTTGTGTGAGTGAATGAATGACTTTATTTCGTAAGGGGGCCA